AAAAAAAAAAAACCAACAACAACAACAACAACAACAACATAGTCATCAATTGACATCCCAGATTAGAGGTCATATGGGTGATAATCCGTGAAAAATTAAACCTCCAGTACATTCAAGCCTCCTCTCCTTTGTGGTGTGCTCTCCTGCCCGGCCCTGAAAGGAATGAACCGTTGCAGGCACAAAATTGCCAGTTGTTCCCAGCCTTTTCCATCCGGCAGGCCCGATCCACGATTGTGCTATGCTGGAGGTGAACGGCTTGTTTCAAACAAGATAGGTGGGAAACCGACTGGTGGTTGAAGGAAAGATAGCATCTCATGGAAGTCGCTACCACCATACTATGTGTCGCTTGGGAGACCATCTCACGTCCCTTCGGGCCCTCATGTGCTGCAGGGACCCCTCGGTACCTTCGTCGTAGTTCGTACGTACCAACTCCTTGTTTCATGCGTGCTTTTTCAGTCAGGATTTCATTTGCAGTGATATGGCTTTCTTTCTTTGCACCCTCCTCAGATCTCTCCCTCTCCGAGTGATGGGCACTCTTTGACAAAAGTCTGGTCACCCAACTTGCAATTACCTCATTTGCTTTCTCAGTTCCCACCCCACCAACTTTTGCTGGTGGATCTACATTGGTATGGCAGCAGCCGTTAAGAAACCTTGACGTATGGAGTTGAGAAGGACAGCATACAGGCAGGGATATTTGTGTCCATCCGGTGGCCCCATGAAGCTGAAGAGGCTGTGTACTTGAGGCATGTTCTGTTCGTCAGATGAGCTGTTTTTCGTAGCTGAAACCGGGTAAAGGCCCTGGGATATATGCTTAAACAGTTGTACTATGGGATACTGGACCCAGTTTTCAGCAGGTGCTGCTCCCCACCAATGAACTGGAGCATTCAGCAGTGGGTCTGCTAGAGGGAGATGCTCATACCACCCTCTCTAGCAACCCATGCCTGGTTAAAAAAAAAAAAAAAAAAAAAAAAAAAAAAAAAAAGAAGAAGAAGAAGAAGAAGAAGAGAGGTGCTTCTCCCCACCAATGAACTGGAGCATTCCGCGGTGGGTCTGCTAGAGGGAGATGCTCATACCACTGTCTCTAGCAACCGATGCCTGGTTAAAAAAAAAGAAAAGAAGAAGAAGAAGAAGAAGAAGAAGAAGAAGAAGAAGAAGAAGAAGAGAGAAAGAAAGAAAGAAGTAAAGACAACACACATTCTTCGACACGACGATGTCTGCGCTATCAGCTGCTACCTGTTTTTGTATCCCCCTCCTCGCCATTCCCGTGGACCACCTGCTTTGACTTTGGTCCAGTTCAATGCGCAGTTATGATGGGTTTCAGCCATGCCATCGATTAGCATAGACACCATAGCACCAATTGTGGATTGACTAATTGTAAATCAAATGCAGTCAGCGCACCAATCACATTGCACCAAGCAAAGGGACACAGATATATTCAGCAACTGTATGAAAGATGTGAATGGCATAGTATCCTGTGGATTGATCATGTGTTGAAGCAGCAGCAACGGTCCGAGTGGCGCGCGCCACTGGTCGGATATGTCTGGTCAAGGTCGCCGGATATCAGTTGTCGAAAATTAGTGTTTTGTGGTTCCCATTTTCGAATAGAAGCCAAGCAATGGACGGTTCGAGCGGCGCACCCTACTGAGAAATTTCAAATTAGTAGAAAAATTAAGAAAACAAATTAGATTACAAAATTAATACAAATCGATTCTCGCGTGGTGGTGCAGGAGACTAAGAAAGTTAGCATGGAGTCATGGACATATTTGATGGCACCAGAAGAGGATGATGTACATTGTACAGGTTCACGAAAGCGAGTCTTTTCAGTCTCTCATTTACGTGGTACTGTCGTCTGTTGCCTATGTAGTATAGTATCGATCTCCCGACTAGATAATGAAAAGGAGGCACTCAATTAATTGACATCCACTTATCAAAAGCCCATTTGCTCCTCGTATTTAGCATGATCATTTCCTCCTGCATGGCGTGCTTCCTTGGCGGCCCACTTGGATGCAGAAGACAGGGAATGCACGTCCGTCCTTTCTTGCGAACGGCAGACACTATTGTTAACTGTGGTGTCTGTGAGCGAGAGGCGATTGGGTGCTCGCCACAGCTGCTCTCGTGTTAAGTGTGCTTGCCACTGCTGCTCCCGTCTTACGAGTTCGTCAAACTGTTAGACTGTCACTAACTTATTACACAGTTAAGCCGATTGCGACTTGAATCCTTTCCTTGTTTAAACTTCTACTGGTACTGAATCTACTGATACAGCTACGAGCACCGCTACCAAGCACGTGTTGTGTAGTACCATATATATATCCACCCTTTCCGCATTTCACATTCGGAACTCCCCTGCCTGTATGCGTATCAGAGGAGGCCTGGGATTCTTTTGCCCAAAGTTGGGCTTCAAAAAGCCTACAGGTAGTGATGCAAGTTGACGGTACAGAGTTCTTTCCAGCAATCATAAGGAGGAGATACTCCCCAGTCCGGCGACTCTTTATCTCACCTTCCTTTCGCGTCTGACCTGCCAAGCAGCTTTCTCTGCTGCCATGACAAAAAAGCACCAGAGGTTTCTTTTAGACAAAGCTGTCGCCAAACCAATGGAAACTCCTGGATCCTTTGCACCAAGCTTGACATCTGCTCACCTCTCGCGAACGGTAGATATCTTCATCACTCCATTAGTCAGGGGTAAGAGCACCTCAGAATCACAACAGATGGATATAATAACCCTGTCCCCTCCTCCCTCAGCTGTCTCGGAGACACACCCTGTAACTCAGAAAAAAAACTGCACAGAATCGCTTTCAGCAGAACAAGAAGACAGTATTATCCAGACCACAACAATCCTCATTCACTGGCACCCTGGGAGGAATTCCAAAAGAAACTTAGTCATGGAAAGATCTGGTGAGGGAAGGGCTCCCGAATCTCCGTCGCAACCGTGGAGGTGATTCTGCGCATTGTGTAGCAGGTACCAGAAGTACAGGCCCTACTGAGCCCCAATTGGTGTGTACTATGTAGTACTCTTTCTTAGAAGATTGTGAGCACCTCAGCGTGCTCTCAATCTTCACCATGAGGCTCGGTTGCTGTACATTCGTTACCTGGCGAGTCAAGCTCCCTGTGGAAATTCCGATGGATCAGGGCATTCTAATGAGCAGAGAAAATCAAAGCATGCTGGTTTGTTGTTTCCCTTGATGCTCTGGTGCAATTTGCCACAGATCTTGCATCCTTTTGTCATCAATCAGTGTGGTGATCTCTCCTGATAAGAATACTGAGTCACATGCACTTAATATTGATATCTGGCCCAATCCGGGGCAATTTCCAGTCAGGTACAGACATGAAAACGCCTCTGGAATTGACAGGGCAATTCCTGCTTATGTGCACCAGCACTCAGGTTTGTAGAATAGCAGCACCTTTCCTCGATCCATCCTCTCAACGAGTCTTATCCAATATCATGGTCAACCACCATTATTATCATCTCTATCACCACCACCACCACCACCACTATGACCATCATCATCATCATCATCATCATCATCATCATCATGCATTTCGGCAAGGACTATAATTCGCCCCATGTGGGGCTCATGATAGCGGTCGCAAGAGTGTGTGAAGCTGCAGCAGCGACTCCTGTGACTGTACAGTCACTTAGACCGGCCACAGGTCTTGGAGTAAGCAGGTAGGTTCCAACAAGCGCCAGATCGCCCACCAGATCACCATGACCAAGTTGCCCATAGTCGCCACGGCCCCATGTGTAAAGCACTCCATCAGCTGACACAGCTGCTGAATGCCATGCACCTGTTGCAATGCTTCTTCCCACTGGGTGAGGTCGATCTTTGGTGGGCTCTGGAGGGACCAGGATTGGTGGAAGTGCTGTCACCAGTTTCACCTCACGAACTGCCATGGTGGAGATCAGGTTGGGTCCAGAACGTTTGTCACTCCCGCAAAGAAGGCAACAAAATGTGTGTGTGTGTGTGTGTGTGTGTGTGTGTGTGTGTGTGTGTGTGTGTGTGTGTGAGAGAGAGAGAGAGAGAGAGAGAGAGAGAGGCAGGCAAACAGACAGACAGACATGAAAATAAGCATCAACTGGAATGCATTTTTTGAAAGCAATGGCTGTCTGCCTCGTAGACGGAACTTGAAGCACATGATGAAGCATTTTCCACAGACCTGCATGGCAAATTCTACTGGTAGTAGTGGCATCTTATTTTGGTCAAAAGCAACGAGAAACACAAATAACTATAATTAAAAAACTATAAAAAAAGATAATCAAATAAAAAAAATAACTAAAATAATAAAAAAAGAAAAGAGAGTCTTATGGATAAATTTCAGAAACCTATATTAACAGAAAAAAGTTTTTCTCTATTAGAAAAAATACAATATACTTTTGAATTAGATAAAAAAATTACTAAATCAGAAGAAAAAAAAATGATAGAAAGGCACTTTCAAGTCAAAGTTATACATGTAAATAGTTACTATCTTCCAATAAAAAAAAAATAAAAAATAATATTGGCAAGAAAAAAAGAAAAAAAAGAATGATTTTTACTTTAAAAATAGGTGATTCAATTCCATTTTCTCCTATAAATATTAATTAAAGTTTTAATAGAATACAGTTTTCTCAACAAGCAAATAAATCAATTCTATTATAACAAAAAGAGAGAAATACATTACANAAGTTTTAATAGAATACAGTTTTCTCAACAAGCAAATAAAATTTAATAAATCAATTGTATTATAACAAAAAGAGAGAAATACATTACATTTAAATAGAAAAAAATACAATCATTCAATGGAACAAAAAATGATTTATCCAAAATATATAAATAAAGTAAATAACTAGATAAATAAATTAGATCAGTAATTAATGAAATTTTATCTTGAATTTATTTTATGTTCTATGTTTATAATCAATTTACATACTTCAATAAAAAAAATACTTATTTTTACAAACAATTCTATTTTTAATACTTTGAAATTTATTTAATGACCAAGACAACTAGTCTCATGAAGAAAGTGAAAAGGAAGACTGACAGGAATTGTCCCATCTAGAGGAGGACCAGGGGATTGGCTGATTTCCTGCCGTGTAAGGAAGCAGCACAGTGGTTCCCAGTTTGTGTATAGTCTTGGGGCCATATCCTTTATGCAGGGAGCTGGGTTCAGGGTCAGGTTTCAGCTTTCAGTCATGAGAAATGTCGTTGAAACTTGAAACTTGGAAGTCCCACCTTCCAGTTAGGACATTGTATGGAATTTCCACTCTCTTTGTACCTCAAGTTGGGACGCTTCACCTGGTGTTCTGCAGGGGCAGCCCTCACCAATATATAGCATTGGTCGTTTACACGACCAAAGAAGAGGTACGACACGAACATGCCGATGTCACCCTTGACGTTCGGCCTGCTTTCAACAGAAGTCAGGGCGTAGAATGACTGAAAAATTCTGCCACTCGAGAGAGTCTGATAGTAGGCTCTGAATACAGCTGCCCATTTTTATCCATAGGTCCGCATTTCTGGCTGTCTTTCACCGCTGCACATTGCCCTCTGCTCACCTGCATGGCGAGCATGGTCCCTCCCCTCAGGGACCACCTGACTTCTGGCATTAACCCCCCCCGCCCCGCCCCAACGCTGCCCACGCCCAGGGTGTATACTGCCACAGGCCTCGGGATTCACAAAAACAGGGAAAAAGGATTTTGATTGTGCCTCCTGACATCTGTTAAATTTGGAACAATACAGAGGTGCAATGACCCGCACAGTTGCAGGCTGAGCCTGCTTCACTTTTCTGAGAAAATGCTGTCTGTTGGCGTGACTTGCAGAGGCTGCCGACTCTGAGTCTGTTTTGTTGTGTCGTCTGTGTGTTCAAGACTCTGTCATTGATACATGCTCGATCGAGCGATGTCTATGGAGCCAAAGGATCCACAAAGTGATGAAAAGGACTCAAATGGACAATGCAGCATCAGCGAAGCATCAACAAGCAATGTACATCCAGATACATACAAAAATAGCACAATGTATCACAGCGGAAGACTCCAAGATATGACCTGACCTGTCAGATACTGACGCGACTCAACCCATCACACACCATGCATGTGAGAGAGGAGGGACCGCACACGTGGAAGAAACGTCCCTCCTTTGATACGCACATGGGGAGATACCACGGATGAGGTGAGGGAGGGAGGGCGAGACGAAGATGGAGATGAGGGAGAAGACCAAGATCGCGATAGCGAAGTGACGAAGTCCAACAATAGTCTCCCTGCCGAATGTCCAACCAATGTCTGCAGCAAAAATGTCGAATCAGATCCTGGGCCTCACAGCCCGACATAACCTCTGCCTGTAATATCTCTCTCTCTCTCTCTCTCTCTCTCTCTCTCTCTCTCTCTCTCTCTCTCTCTCTCTCTCTCTCTCTCTCTCTCTGTATGTATATGTATATGTGTATGTATATGTCGGAAGGAGGAGGGAACGAGAGGGAGGCTTTCAAANTCTCTCTCTCTCTCTCTCTCTCTCTCTCTCTCTCTCTCTCTCTCTCTCTCTCTCTCTCTCTCTCTGAAAGAAGAAGAAGAAGAGGAAGAAGAAGAAGGAAGGAGGAGGGAACGAGAGGGAGGCTTTCAAAAAAATTTGCGACGGTGCCGCCCGGTAGCGCAACGCAGCGCTAATCTGCACTAGCGTCCCGCACCCAATACCCGCCAGTACACCACCGAGCGCCACTGTGCCTGGCACGTTTAAATTTCGAACGTGGGCGGTTCAACACGGCGGCCATCGATGCTGCATGCACGCCAGCTCGCGCTTCGAGCACGAGCACCACCACCTGCACCATAGCCGACATCGATGCCGCCCGCAAGCCAGCTCACGCCTCAAGCCTGAGCACCACCACCAGTATCCATCGCCAGGGAAGAAGATCGCGAGTCAGCTCGCATCTCATCCAGGAGCTGGGCCTCGGTGCTGTGCCCACGACCTGCGATCTAGGCCGTGAGATTGTTGGTCCGATCCACGGTTCAGATCGCAGGAGAAAGTCCTGCTCCTGGGCCTGGCCTAAAACGGCCTGCCTGGGTCCCTACTGGACGTCCAGGCCCTCCCTGCTGATGCAGCAGGGAGTGTCTGCTACCGACGAAACCGAACGTGCCCCGAAAGGGCCTGACAGCGAATGGAGAAGGCCCAAAACGTGGCCTTGGTCCGAACAGACCGTAAGTCTGTTCGGACGCACTGCAAGAACGACGCCTGAAACAGACAAAAATAGAACAGAAAGTAAATAAATAAATAAATGATGCCTGCCCTGGGCCTCCAGGGCGCATGCCTGGAATGACGTGCCGCCTTGGGGCCCCCAGCAACCGTCGGGCCCCCAAAACGGGGCCCGTGTGCAGGCTCAGCATGTAACAATCATGCTTGCTGAGTTTGAGTCTGTGATGGCGCGCTAGCTCTGCTCGCATGCTGTGTTTCTGTGTCCTGGGAAGGGCAGAAGAATAAGAGATGGAGTGACAGGGGTAGGGCTGGAATTTGGGCAAAATTAGAATTTGGTAGTAAGGACAGGGACAAAACTAGAATTTGTCAAGGACCCAGTAGGGATATTCCAGTAACTCGGGCAGGCCTGAGGGTCCAGTAATCTAGCAGGTAGAGTCATCATGGCACCGGTCTACACGTTGGTGCGGTCCTAAGTTGAGTGGAAAATCTGCTCTAAGCACCATGTTGAATCAAGTGCCTTCTCCAAGCACCAAGTTGAATAGAGTCTCCTCCTAGCCTCAAGTAGAGTAGACTCCTGTTCTCCTAGTCTCAAGTTGAGCAGAGTCTCTCCTCCATCCACCAAGTAGAGGCTTTTTCTCCTAGACAAGAATCTCTTTTCTCAAGGCTAATGCTCCTCACCACAGCTGAACTCAGCCTCAGTACCACAATTCTTGGTGCGCTCAAGCTCACCCTCTCAAATCTTGGTCCACGTCACCCCTCTCACTCTCGTACAGGATCCCTCTCAGCTCTAGGCCACTTCTTGCTGTGCTAATGCGTATGCGAACCTCCACTGCATTAACGCATCAATGCACCTCCACGGCGATGTTTCGTGCCCATGCAAACATGGGAAACGTTTGCGCCACCACCTCTACCCCCATTCAAAATTCAGTAAATGATGCCGCACTGTCACACCATGGTGTAAAGGGCAAACACAGCATGAGGACGAAGAAGGCAAGAACAAGAGTGGAGGGGCATAGCTCGAAGCAGCAAACAAGGGAAGTGGAGAGGTCAGATATGAGAGCAAGGGGCCACAAGGGCACGGCAAGAAGACACGAAGGAAGAAGAAACTGAGCAGGGGAGGAGAACAAGTCGATGTTTTGGATGTTGCGGCCTCACGGTCACTGTCTTCGAACAGGCAATCAAGCCAGCAGAGACAGCGATGAAATATTTCTGCTACCTGTCTTCTACTCGTTTTCAAACTGTCAGGACCACGGAAACAATAAAAAATGAACAATCTTCACAATAATTTAGCTCTTGCACCAGCCAACGGAAATAATTATCACCAACTATTACGCCCACAATTCCCCCCAAGTAGTAAAGAGCACGAGTTCGCCCTTTGTGCATGAGAATTTAGTGGATGAATTATCAATTTATCAGGTTTTAATCCTTTTCTTTTTTTTTTTTTCTTTTTTTTTCAGAAAATTTCATGAATTTAGACAAGGAACTACTAGAAAAATCCAAACAGCAATTAGTGGAAGTCCTTCGAGTGCTCAGAACCCCTGGAAGCTCCCCACAAAAAAACACTCTAAAATTCTCTAATACTGTCCTCCTCCCTGCCGAGCTCTCCCAGGCCTCATGCCCCCACCCTGCTAGGTTACAGGTCAACACGACTCACCCCAGCTCCGGCCAGCGTCGTCCCAACAGCAACCCTTGGTTTTCCCTTGGAATGCCCGGCCCAAAGCACCCCCAGATCTC